TATGAGGAAAGAAGAATGCACTAGTGAGCTCAGCAACATAAGGTATGGATGTCCACCGACGACAACAGTGGTGGATAATCTCAGGATCCTCTCTATGGTAAAGAAAAACCCATTCACAACATCCAGACAAGTGAAGGACACTCTCCAGGAGGTGGGCGTATCATTGTCAAAGTCTACAATCAAGAGAAGACTTCACTAGAGCAAATACAGCGGGTTTACCACAAGGTGCAAGAATAGAAGCCTGAGCCATAAGCCTGAAGAATAGAAAAGCCAGATTAGACTTTGTCAAAAAACATCTAAAAAAAGGCAGACCAGTTTTGGAAAAGCATTCTTTGGACAGAAACTAAGATTAATCTTTACCAGAATGACGGGAGGAAAAAATTGTGGAGAAGGCATGGAACAACTCATGATCCAAAGCACACAACGTCATCTGTAAAACATGGTGGAGGCAGTGTGATGGCATGGACATGCATGGCTTCCAGTGGCACTGGGTCATTGGTGTTTATTGATGTTTCAGAAGACAGAAGCAGCTGGGTGAATTCTGCAGTGTTTAGAGATATAGTGTCAGCCCAGATTCAGCCAAGTGCAGCAAAGTTGATTGGACGGCGCTTCACAGTACAGATGGACAATGATCTAAAACACACTGCAAAAGCAACCCATGAGCTTTTAAGGGAACAGTGGAATATTCTGCAATGGCTGAGTCAATCACCTGATGTCAACCCAATTGAGCATGCTTTTTACTTGTTGTAGGCAAAACTAAAGGCAGAAAGACCCACAAACAAAGAACAACTGAAGACAGCTGCAGTTAGAGCCTGGCAAAGCATCAGAAAGGAGGAAACCCAGTCTTTGGTAATGTCCATGGGTTCCAGACTTCAGGCAGTCATTGCCAGTAAAGGATTCTCAGCAAAATATTAAAAATGAACGTTTTATGATTATATTCAATTGTCCAATTTACTTTTGGTCCCTTGAAAAAGGGGGGATGGCTACTCCTTAAACCTGTAATTCCTAAACCTTTCCTCCAATTTGGATGTGCATACCCCCAAATTAAACCTGAGAGCGTGCACTTTGAGCTTGTTTCCATTATATAACTATAACTTGAATGTTTTGGTAAATACCTGAGAAAAAATCTAAAATTGTGCCTGTGTCCAAATATATATGGACCTAACTGTATTTTCTATATTGAATATTGTGCTAATGCACATATCTGAGCCTTCTGTGGTGTTTGTTGTTGTTTTTTTTTTTTTTTTTCCTTTTTTCATTTCACTGATCAGCCTAATATTATTCACATTAACTCCTATGGAAAGATGCCACTATGTACAGTTTGTACATTTATGTAACTTCTCTACTATGTACTGCTAAAATTAAGCTTGAATGTGAGGTCTTCCAAGTGAAATGAGTAGCAACAGTATCTAGCTGGATGAATGTGCATAGTATGTTTATGGTGTAGTTTGAGCCAGCCCATGCTTTCATGTAATATGTTACAAGTGTAAGGACAAAAATGAACCCTGTTGTCAAAGAAAAGGCACGGTTATTCAGGATTAAAATGCAAAAAAGTGCTGAATCACCAAAATGTCTTTATTCTACCGTTTTCTTGTTTTGCATTATGGATGACCCATCAGGAGAGTGTGAGATCAGTACTTAAAAAGCTATTAATCCCAAAAACTAAAATGTAATATATTGCTGTTTTGAAAATCGATGGAGTGGCTGCATTAGTGTGTTTTTTTTTTTTTTTTTTTTTAAAGATTCTCCTTTTTCACATGGTAATCTTGTAAGTAACACACTTTCTGTCTTGGGGTGCCTGCCCTCTGGACGAAGTAGTTAAAGTGGTTCTAAAGCTGAAACGTTGTTGTGTGCTTTTTTTCTTTTATGTTTTTTTTTGTTTTTTTTGTTTTTTTTAACCTTCATGCAATTCCTGCATTAACCACTTACCTCCAGAAGATTTATCTCCCCTTCCTGATCAGGCCATTTTTTTGCAATATGCGTTAATTTAACTGACAGTTATGCAGTCATGCTATGATGTACCCAAATTAATTTTTGTCCCCTTTTTTTTTTTTTTTTTTTTTTTTTTTTTTTTTTTTTCCTCCCCCCCCCACAAATAGAGCTTTCTGTTGGTGGTATTTAATCATTTACATTGTGTTATAAACAGTGGTAATTTTTTTTAAACAAGTTTTTTTTTATTTTCTTTTATAAAACCTATCCATTAATATTTTTTTAAACATCTCTTCATAAATTTAGACAAAACTGTATTCTGCTACATATTTTTGGTGAAAAAAGAAAAATCTAAATAATGGCCAGTCCATACTACAAAAACACTCCGGATGCATTCCGGATACATTTTCGCTAACAGTTCACACCACACAGTTGCAGTGCAGTTTTGTTCCAGTTTGCTATGTTCCAGTATGGTTCTGTGCAGAAAAAATGCAGCATGTTCTATTTTTTTTTTTCTTTTCTTCTACACCAGAAACTGACTTGAACTGACTGCACTAGTGTGAACTAGGACCATTGGAATACATGGAAAACGCTGTGCATGCATTTTTGATGCAGGGAAAAAAAGCGCACTGAACTGTATCTAGTGTGAACTACCCTAAGTGTATGTTGATTAGTTTGTGCAAAGGTTATAGCACCTACAAACTCTGGTGCATATACTGGAATGTTTTTTTTTATTTATACTAGTAATGGCGGCGATCAGCGACTTATAGTGGCACTGCAATATTCCAGCAGACATTTTTACACTGACACCTTTTTGGGAACCAGTGACACGAATACATTGATCAGTGCTGGAAATATGAAATTACACTGTACTAATGACACTGGGTGGGAAGGGGTTAACATCTAGGGTGATCGAAAGGTTAAGTGTGTTCCTAGTTATGTGCTTGGTGATTTTCTTTTACTAGGGGAAGTGATGAATTGTGTTCTCAGCTCTACAGAGAGAAACAATGCATGACTTTCCACTGTCACAACATGTAAACTTAGCCATAGCTCTGTTCTTTCCTGACTGATGATCTGGAGGTGCTGATGAACAATTGCTTGCCAGAGCATGCTTTTACAGTTTACCAAATAATGAAATTCTCTTACTTGCTCCCTTTTTTAGTTTTGTTAAATATATTACATTAAAAAACACTTAAAAAAAATATAATTCCAAAAACATACCTGTTGATTATTGCTACAGTTGATTTCATCCTTTTCTGCACTCTTACCAGTTACATTGTACCAAGCTAACTCTGTGAATTACAATGCACCCCCCACATGTGTCTAGTTTTGTTCTGGGAGAGAGTGGGTAGTGCTGCTCCTCCATAGAACACAGTACAGTGAGCTCTGACCTCATAGAAAAGCAAGGAAGTGTCCTTACATCCCTGCCAGTTTACACAGTAAGGTCCTGGACATCCTTGGCAGCAGCAGCATTGCTGAAATCATGGAAACTGGTTAAAAAAAAAAGTTTGCTTTGAGATTCAGTTTTAGAGTGAATGGACTTTCCGGAACAAAAATCGCATTCACAGTTTTAGTAAAATGTTTCACCCTGCTTCTGTAAATTTTCTTATCACTGCAGTAGAAAACAAATGCCAGTAGGACCCTACTAACAATTAGGACACTTTAAATTTTTGTGAAGGAAAATGCACTAGTGTTTGATTAGCTTAAGGGAGCAGCAACAGGCTCATAAACTCCTCATTCTGCTCTCCTCCTGATGGCATGTTTCTTGTTGGCACAGGAGATCAGTCATGCCAGATTGGCTGCTAGTAATGGCCTTTTCTTACCCAGTCTAAAGCCAGCCACATTGTTCTTGTTCTAATCTCGTTCATGTTTGATCAGACTGTACCCGATTTATTGCTAGCGGCTATTATAAGGTTCAACCCCACCTGCCAGGAGAGGACGATGCCTCTGCAGGAGGAATTTCCCCATCAGCACTTTGTTGATAGGGGAATTTTGCAATTTTTCTTTCCTGCAACCATTGAAAATTGCATCATGTATGGCCGCCTTAGGTACTTCAGTGCAGGGGGATTCAGGAGGCCCATCTTAGGACAACTTTGGGTGTATTAAAACATTAGGTGTACTTAAAAATGAATATACATTATTATTATTATTATTATTATTTTTTTTTTTTATATGCCTAGAGATTTAAGTGGGTTTAGCCGTAGAAGGCTCCAATACTCTCCATGACCCTCTGACTAGTAGCACATTATCATTCTATGGTCCTCCAAGATCTTGACTTTGTGGTCTTCTCTCATGCATTGAGCCACAATCTCCATTTGTTCTAACAGGAACATCAAGCTCCTCCAGAGTGCACACTTTCTGTTGGAATGAATGGAGTTCATGTTAAAAGGGGAGAACAGGACTTGACCGTGACTATTTTTAAGAGGCTGTGTGGCACCAAGTAGGTTGCCCTGTGAAGTTCTTGGTGCAGTTAATAATGTAAGGAATTAAAGTCCTCTAAAAGTTGACATGTTAAGTGTGCTTTTGTCTAGGTTTATATTACAGGTCATATATACCTAATAAAAATTTCCCCAAGTGCTACTGAAAATCACAAAACGTGTGTAAATGTAGCTCTCCCAAACCAGGTATACAGAAACATTAAACAAATAATGGTAATGTGGAAAAAGATCCAAAGTGGCAAAAAGATTATTGCAACATGATAGAATAAATACTTAAATGACTTCCCCAGCCTAAAAAACAAATCCCACTTTGTGGTTCAAATAACGTGATCATTCAAACTGTTTTTGGACAATGATGTGTTTAGTAATAGATCCATTGTTTTATGTCCCTGCAGAGAATATGAAACAGGCTTCAACATGACGTCCAGATTTGGGAAAACTTACAGCCGCAAAGGTGGAAATGGAAGCTCCAAATTTGATGAAGTTTTCTCCAATAAACGAACCACTCTAAGTACAAAGTGGGGTGAGACCACATTTGTGGCCAAAGTAGGTCAGAAGAGGCAGAATCACAAACAAGATGTCACAGATACTCATAAAAAGCCTAAAATCGATGATGATGACCTTACAGAGGATCCATTTGGATTTGATAGTGATGACGAGTCAAAGCCAGTATCATCGAAAAATATTTCGCAGCCCAAGAGTGCAAGTCAGCAGTCTCTAGATCGTTTGGGGGTTTCTGTTTCTGAAAACTCTGCCCCTTTATTTGAAGAAAACAGTAAGACAGACCATGCCATTTCTGCTGAAACCACAGTGTCTTGCAGGTTTTCTTTTGATAGCACTTTGCATGGACTAAAAGAAAAAAATGCTAACAAGGTCATAGAGGATGGTAAACGACTGCACAGCTCCCCGAAGAAAACCATCACAGGTATTTAACCTATTTCTAGCCCTTCTCCCTACTTTGGTTAATTATTTATAGGGGTCCACATGTTTTTAGGGCTTGTGAGGAATGGTCTTTGGAGATGCAAGTTTTATCTGCCCACGTGAATGAACAGAAGGAAAATCTAGGGTTCTTTGTCAAAGACCATGTTCTTTAGTGAATTTGATTACCTCTAGGAGCTTGCAATTTTTTGAATCACTGGTTGATATGATGGAGGTAGTTTAATTGCCAAATCTCAGTTGAAGAGATCATGTTAAAGCCAAACATGAAAGTGAAAGCCCTCCCTTGAAGTGTGGGCCTCCTCTGCTTGTTGAGTCCATGAATGGTAAAAGCACTTTTAAAGATAAATTACAGGTGTGGAAATTTTACAATTGCAATGTAAATATGTGCCACAGCTGTGGGATCATTATGAATCTTCATCTAACCTCTGGGTCCTGTACCGAGCGACTGCCCTGCTGCATTGAGAACACAGGAGGTTACTTGCTAGGCACAGCAAAACTCAGGGAACAGTTTGCATTTCTTACAAAACGATGAAATAGAGGGGTAGTAATATCACAATTTCCACCTCCTCCAAATAGGAAAATGCAAAGTGTTCTCTGAATGGTGCTCATGCTAACTGGGCATTCTTCTGCAGCAAGGCAAGTGTTCAGCACAGGACCCGAAAGCTAGTGGCAATCACTGTAGAACTGGTGCCTACTACAGTGATTTTCAGCTACCAGGGGGATTCAAAAGGCATGGCAAATGCAATGCTTACTCTTAGTCCAAACTGGACCAATGTAACTATCTAAAAATTCCCTGTTCCTCCGGTTCCCAAGCAAACAGCTCTCCCCTGGCAGTAGACTGTCCCTCCCAAGTCGTCATGTCTGATGCACTGCTACAGTATGGTCCCTGCATCCGTCTTTATGATCCATGGAGTGCAGGGGAGAAGAAGCTGTGAAGACTGATCTTGCAGCATGTAGACGCCCATAGTAGCAGAAGTATAAAACTTGTGGCGCACTAGATCTAAACAAGCAGTTGAACCTCTTTTGAATCCTCGATTCCTCAGAGTTTAAAGGACAAGACCACATTTTAGAAAAAAAAAAGCATATTTGGACAAACAAAAAATGTGCATTTATTATTTTATCTCCCCCCCCCCCCCCCCCCCCATAAATGCCTTCAAAGCGTTGAAATCATAATTAGTGGGTCACGTGTGCAATGAAAGGCTCCTGCAGACTCTTCCTCCAAGGTATGTACTTTGTTACTGAGCTGGAGTAAGTGTCAATGGAATACTAGTGCGGCAATTACCTCCCTTTCACTAAGAACTATACCTCTGTCATGGTGGCAGATGGAACTTGTTGTCCATTCATTTACAGGTTTCTGTGAATTAATGTTGTGGTTTTGTTGGCGAAGAAGCCCTCACATGGATAATTTAAAAAAAAATTATAGTGACTGCGTGTCCCTGCATGCTGTCACTGAAGGAGACTTTCACCAAATTACATGGATACGGCTGTAACTTGTAATGTGTTCCTAAAGATGGAGCTAGCCTTATTATTATTTATTTATTTTTTGGGGAGCTGACCTTACCTGTCAAATAATGTACTCTTCAAAGCTATTTACTGCTGTTTTATAGCCATTTCCTACCATGTTCTATTCAGGGTATTTGTTGCGTGTGTGGATTGGCATAAAAAAGTGCTTTTTCTCTTGCGTTCCTTGACAAGCACAGCCTCTCTTTATTCATGACCAAATAGTGTTTTATAGCCCCACGTGCAGGAGTAGGTCACCCCAGTCTGACTGGCGAGTGTGCAGACTGCTAGGTCTGTGCTCAGTCCACGACCATTACCCATCCTGGACTGGGGTGGTCAGCGAGTTCAACGTCTCGCTGTGACACACATGACCGAGCTCCTATAGTCTGTGTCGCAGCGTTACCCTGGCTGACAGCCACCACACTTCGGTGGAGATGTGGATCTCTCATGGGAGCCTTTCTCCCACGCTCCAAAGGATTGCTATGTAAATGCTCCCCCTCTTCCTTCCCTGGACACAGCGAGGGGTGCGGTGGTTACTCCTTGGGGTTGTCGGTCTGGTGGGCTGCTCTCCTCTCATACAGGCCTGTGCTCCCCTTCCCTGCTGTTGTGGTTGGGTTGTAATAAGGTGGGGTTTTTCTCTAGGACCGCAGTGTCACCTCTGCCCTTGTATATCGTGCGACTCCCTTGCCTCGACCAGAGGGGTCAGCCAGGGCATTGGTGTCTGTGTGCCCCTTTCTCTTGCCCTAAGTCAGTTTTGCTTAAATGCATGCCGGGGAGACACCTGTTGGCATTGGCACTATCGACTGCTGCAGGCAGGATGCGTTTGGGGAACCCTCCCTTTCCTAGCCTGGATTGTGATACTTCGCCTGTGGGTTTCTGCACCACGCGGTTGGGCCCTCCCTAAATCTCGCCCAGGGCTTTGTAACTCATATGGTCAGGTAGCGGTGCCCCACCATTTTGTCCATGGGCATCTGCCCTGTCTCTTAAGTCATATCCACCCACGCTCTGTCCTGAGCCGGAGGCTGAGATGCCTGGGGCTGGCGCCATGAAGTGAGGGGCAGGACTCGATGGGCAGTGTTCTGCGAACAATCATCCTGCCACGTTTATTGTTGGCACTGTCCCTTCTTCACCTCCTGACCAGGGCCAGTCCCGGTGTGTCCGCTTGGGAGGGGGGTTATGCAGTTGCATGATGTTGGGCTTGTGTGCTGAAGTCGCTGAACACAGTTGCTGAGGGACTGCCGCAGGGCCGTTACCAGTTGAGCCTGTTGGCGGCATGGGTTGAGCTGCAGGTTGCAGATTCCATCCCGGCTATAGCAATCTTTTGGGCACAGACACTGCCCTCCTGCGATTTGGTCTTGCGCAAAGTCTTGACTACTAGTCAGGATTCCTCAAGCCTATGGAGCACTCCGGACCAATATGGTCTAGTGATTGATGCATGTTTGTGACATGTCTGATGCAGTTCCTTGCCTCTCCAAACTTGATTTTGCAGCTGTGGTGCTTTGTTGGGGTTCCTTTTGGCTGGAGTGGTGGTGGATTGCCCAGACTTCTAATCGGGCCGGGGTGGCCGCCTGTTTTTCATTGCACAGGACAACATTCATAGGAACCTTTTATGGGTAGCAAAAGTTCCTTCCTCTCTTGGGCCATGGAGAGACTGGGACCGCATCATATGTCCAGGTCTGCTTAACGGATTTTTTTGCCCCTGGGTCTCCGGCTAAGGGCTCCAAACCCTTCAAGACTCCCATGAGTGGTGTTAAGTATTCCTGGTCCAGGAAGCCCTCCAGTTATGTGGCCTCATTGGCATGCATGTTTACCGCTTCACATTTGTAGAGTGAGGGGTCCCTTTTGCCGCTCTCAAGCCTGTGGACCACCCTCTTCTCTAAGAAGTGGGTCCACAGAGTCGTTCCCTATGGTTGTGAACTAGTATTCCTCTCGTTCCTGCTGGACAGAATTTGTTTCCAAGCTGTTCAGTCCTCGGGAAGGACACTGATCTGGTTTCTTAAGGCTTTGCATGACTGCATGCGGCTGTCAGAGTGCCACATGGCCTTTGTTCACTCAGGTATGGCCTCTCTCCACTGGGAGATTGTCTAGCTGCCATATATTTCTAGGGCGCTTCCCTGCACATTACCATCTGGGAGGGGCAGCATTGTTTCCTACATTTTGCTCAGGGATGTGCGTTCTTACCCGGTGGTACTTACCAGGAACTTGGTCCCAATCCTTGCCTTGCTGAGACAGAGGGATTACGGCATTCAGTTACCTGTTTAACTGGCCTCTACATGAGGAAACTCATTTGTCCCTGATGGACAGTATGAAGATCTCCAAGCATTCCCTACAGGACTTCGCTGGGATCCTGAACCTCAGGATGTCTGTGTTGACCCCATCCAAGCACTGTGAGTATCTGGGGCTGATTCTTGATTCAGAGCAGGCCACAGTGGTCCTCTCATCATACAAGCTCCAGAAGCACTGGTGACTGATCCAGCGGCTCTTGTCTTACTAGTGGCCCTCCCTGCATTTGGTACGCAGGTTTTAGGTCTAGTGGTGGCTACCTTCGAGTGGTTCCGTATACCTAGTTCCATACCGGAGTTGCAGAAGGGAATCCTATCCACATAGAACAGGTCTGCTGCTTCCTCGGACAATCGGATTCCTCTGAAGTGGTTGACGAGGGCCTCTTTCCACTGGTGGTTGTCGTCTTTTGTTCCTATTGCTGGACTGTAGTCACGACGGATACCAATCAGTTGGGTTGGAGGAAGCTTGACTAGCGATCAATGTCCAGGAGCCTCAAACAATCAGGTTGGACCTGGTCCACTGAACAGATTTTCTTAGGGTCTGCTCCCAATCAGAATCCAATCGGACAGTGCCCTTGCAGTAGCTTCTGCCAATCATCAGGGCAGTGCAGGATATTTAGTAGTGGTGCTGAAGGAGTCTCTTATTCTAATAGGTTTGGAGCAATGTGTTAAAATTCTTTCTGCTGTACACGTTCCAGATGTAGATTACTGACAGGCAGATTATCTGAACCAGTGTTGACAACTAAGACTGCTACTGGCAGGCAGAGGGAGTGGTCCCTGCACCTGGAGGTGTTAAATCAGCTCTGCCTTTGCCGAGGGACTCGACCTGTATCTTCTGGTGTCCTTCCTAACCGTAAAGTTCCAATGTTTGTGGCCAGAACGTTGGATCCCCTGGCAAACGTGACGGATGCGCTGGTAGAGTTGTGGGATCAGTTCTGTCTCATCTATGCTTTTCTACCCATCAGGTTGATTCTTTGTCTGCGGCACAAGGTTGAAACTGAAGGAATCCCGGTCATTGTGTTGGCCCTGGTCTAGCTTTGTCATGCATCGTACAGCAACTTGGTGACAGATGCTACCTGGTGGCTGCCTCTTCAGGAAGACCATCAGCCCTAGGGGCCAGTCTTTCAGCTTGCTTTATTCGCTGGCTTTAATGGCTTGGCTATTTGAGGGCCAGGTTCTGAAGGATAGGGATAAGGATAAGACA